TATAATGGCATAGTATAGAAGTCGTATAGCAATAGTATAGTCCTAGTGTATTAAAATGTAGTGCGTAGGAGCATAAAAAAACGCAATACATTATTGGATAGTATAAAAAATGTGTGTGATATATAATTTTATAGCACGAGAGTATATCGTAGTGTACTACGCTATAGCATAGTATGTATAGTATAGTATAGTATAGTATAGTATAGTATAGTATAGTATAGGATAATAGATTATAGCATTGTACAATATAGAATAGTACAGTATAGTAAATATATAAAATATATATAATATAGTATAGTATAATAGAAGTATAGTATAATGTAGTATTGTATAATATGGTATAGTATGATATAGTAGAATTAAAGTAGAGTATAGTAATTGTATATTTGGTATATAATGTAGTACAATATAGCATAGTAATTTAATAGAATAGTATGGTATAGTAGAATTATAGTAGAATACAGTATAGTACAGTGTAGTAGAATATTGTATAGTACAATATAGTACAGTATAGTATAGTAGAATATTGTATAGTACAATATAGTATAGTAAGTATTTAATAGAATAGTATGGTATAGTGGAATTATAGTAGAATGTAGTATAGTATAGTAGAATAATTAGAATAGTACAATATAGTACTGTATAGTAAATTATAGTATATTATGGTTTAGTAGAATATTGCATATTATACAATTTAGTATAGTATAGTATGGTATCATGTGGTATAAAAATTTTAGCATACAGTATTTATAGTATGGTACAGTAGAATTATAGTAGAGTAGAATATAGGATAGTATATGCAGCGTGGTACATTATGACATTTATACTAAAAAATATGAAGCGTAGTACACAATGAGTCAGCATAGTAAAATCTATGCAGTTTGGTACATAAATGACAGGGAGATTGAGGGGGAAATTTACTGGTGCAAGAATCTGGTGCAGCTGTGCATAGCAACCAATCAGCTTTTTTTTTTTTACTAAAAAAAATACTAGACTGAAAAAAACTAAAGTTAGAGGCTGCATGGTTGCTAAAAAAAGCTGCACCAGATTTTGTGTGCACCCGTTTTTTAGTAAATTGCCCTATAATATAGCAATTTTATCATATAATATAGTGTAGTTAATATAACATGCAGTGTAGTTATTTTATAAATTTTAAATCATGAATTAGTACATTATAATTATATGAATTGTAGTAATCCTGTGACCAGTATTAGTATAAAATATAATATATAAATTTTGTGCAAAGTGATTAAGATGTTAAGTATAAGTATAAATATATATAAAATTAATTATTGTATTAAATAGTAAATTAGTTTAGTATTTAATAATATATAAATATTTTGCACATGATTAGTTATTATATATATTATATTATATAAATTGTTGTACAACAGTGATTAGTTTAGTATATAAAAGTTATAATAATATTTATTAATTATTATATATAGTGATTAGTTGTAGTATAATATAATATATAAATTGTTGTTTTTTGATTAGTGTAGTATTTAATATAATATATAAATTGTTGTGCACAGTGATTAGTTTAGTATTTTTAATATATAAATTGCATTACACCTAATATATTGTCATCCTAAACAGAATTCATTCCCAGACCATCTCCCCTATTCCAGTCTAGTGTAATTTTTTTATTAGAAATTTTTTTTATTCTTTTTTTGACTAGTTTTTAAATAATATCTAAATATTATAAATTGTAGTTACACAGTAACAAGTGTAGTATAGAATTGGATACTATAGTATAGTACAACAAACTGCAGAGTGGTATTTATGACATGGTACAATATCGTAAAATAGTGAAGTACAATACAATGCAGTATTTAAATTCAGTGCATCTTCAAATACTACATTATAAACTAATTAATTATAGCTAATTATAGTACACCCCAATGTAGAACAGTGTAAATAAATATGCAGTATAGTGCATAATACCTATAGTGCAATTTGAGGATGCATATAAATCAGTGCAGTTCATGCTATTAAAGTAAAGTATAATATACCAAAATATAAAATAGTGCAGTTTAGCACTGTGTAGTGCATTATAGTAGTTAGCATAATATAAGCAGATACAGGGCAGTATATTGTAATAGTGCAGTAAAACACAAGTTAATATATTATTATTATAATAGGCTTACTAAAAATGTAGAGCTTATTAGTATATGAGTTGTATTTTAAGTTCAGTGTTATAAACATTGCAGTATATTGCAGTGTAAGCATTCTGGTATATTTATAGAGCCCTTTATTAAAAGGTAGCAGAGTAGATTGCAATACATTGCAGTTTGTGAGTTCCAGCCTACTCCACCACACAGCACTGCCCCATGATATATAAGATATTGCTTACCTGGGGGTATTTGATGTCAGGATCTACAGCACTCTTCTCTATTCCATTCAGGTTCTGGCTGCTGGGAAAGGCTGTCCTGTTAACGCTCGCCCACTCTTCCATCTTGGGGGAATAGACAGATCCATCTGCTCCAGCTATAGCACCTGAATCAATATACAGTCAGTTACTAATTTTCCTCTGCTAGAGGTCATAGTTGGCAACCTCCATTTGCATAACTTTGTCTAACTGTAGAAGATATTGCAACTACCCATCGGGGAGCCCCAACTAAGAAAACTAAAAACCCACAAAAGTAATTATGAGTGATTCACAATAATCCTGTGAAACATTTAATTTTTAAAATGAACTTCATTATGCTTAGAATTTAAGGATGCCTAAAAAAAAAAAAAAAAGATTTTCAAAAAGAAAAAATTATATAAATAATTATTAAATGACATGGGCACCATTTAAATATATCAAATCAAAGATTTGCTATGCATATTTTTTTTTTTTAAACAACACTATATAATTATATTTCAATTATAATTTTTAATGATTAACGACAATACATATAAAAACAATAATAAACATTAGGGACATTTAATAGCATTAGATAAATAAATAAACAAAAACTTTTAAAGAATAAATGACCTGCATAGCAGATCTTTGATATGATAAATTGAAATGGCGCCCATGTCATTTAAAATCATTATATATATAATTTTTTATTTGGGTACATTTTTTTATCATTAATTCCAAATTCTGTTTGTTAAATAAATATTTTAGAACTTTTTTTCACGTTTGTGCAAGAATAAAAAAACAATGCCTTTGCTATGAAAATTAATGTCCCTCTGATAAACTTCGCTTATAATGAGGGTATTTGATTTTTTACTAGTTTGTTACTTTCTTGCAACTAATCATAACTTATATCATGGTTATATTATTGTACGTCTTCTTTAAGTACTAAGGTATCTGTTCTCAGCTGGTACAAATACATCTCGATGCCAGTAATAGCGACACTCTGGTGTCTTGACTCTCATCATTATGCAAATATTTGAGAAGGAATTGTAATGTTCCACCTTCCCTATAATACATACAAAGCCTATATGCTTGGAATAAAAAAAAATTTAAAATAAACAATTATAAATATCTCACAAATAACCCCGTATATTACTATGCTCTCTGTGCTGTCACAAAAAGAATACATTAGGGTTAATTTACGGAGCTTAAATGTTTCCTCAGCTTAGGAAATAAAGTGGACCTGTGGATAACTATCAATGCCTGATCATTAGTGGGGATACAAGACAGAAAGTAACTTGCAAAAAAATTGAATAACTGAAGTGAAACAAACACTTATTTATTCATGCATTATTTGCCATGTCAAGAAAAACACGTTCTACTCCTTTATTAAATTAACCCTATGGTATATCATTTTTTTTTAGTGGGAACACAAACACACTATCTCTATCATTGGGATAGATTATTCACTTAGCAAAGTGAATGTTCACAACAACAACAGCAACAACAAAATAATAATAATAATAATAAAAAAAAAAACTATGTTAACTGGAAATAAAAAAATACATGCACGTCAATGAAATATTGAAATTAATGCAAACGTCACCTTTTTTTTCTAAGCTAAGTAAATATTAATTCAGTAAAAAAAAAGTCTATCTTTTTTAGTAAATCAACCTATCAATGAGTGTTGTGTGTGTAGAGATAGACAGAAAGATAGATGAAGTAGATAGATAGATAGATAGATAGATAGATAGATAGATAGATAGATAGACTGTAAATAGATAGATAAATAATACATAGATAAGAGATAGACATAGATAGATAGATGATAAAAAGATAGATAGATAGATAGATAGATAGATAGATAGAAAGAGATAAAGAGAGAGAAAGAGATGAAAATAATAAAAAGAGAGAGAGTGAGAGAGAGAAAGAGAGAGAGAGAGAGAGAGAAGAGAATGGATAGAGTAAATTGATAATAGATAGACAGCTCATTAGATAGATAGATAGATAGATAGATAGATAGATAGATAGATAGATGGATGGATAGATAGAATAGATAGATAGATAGATAGATAGATAATAATAGATAGATAGATAGATAGATAAATCGTAGATAGATAATAAATAGACATATTGTAAATAAAAATAAATAAATAAATAAATAGTAATAGATAGATAATAGATAGATAGATAGATAGATAGATAGATAGATAGATAGATAGATAGATGATAGATAGATAGATAGATAGATAGATAGATAGATAGATAGATAGATAATGGATAGATAGAGCAAATAGATAATAGATAGACAGCTAGACAGATAAATAGACAGAATTAATAGATAGTAGATAGATAAATTGATTGATTTATTGAAGATAGATAATGGATGGATAGTCAGATAGATAGATAGATAGATAGATAGATAGATAGATAGATAGATAGATAGATAGATCTAGATAATAACTAGCTAAATAGGTAGACATAATAAATAGATAGATGTACACACATATGTACAGACAAATAGTAGACTCTTTTTTTGCAGAGTCATGAAGGAAGGAGTCACGCTTGACAGAGAACCTGTTGTCAGCCAGTCTGTTGGTATTTTCCAGACTCACCTGTTTGTTCCATAAAGGTGCGGATTCCCAGAATGTTATTGACAGAATGGGCTGATGGCCAGGACCTGGCTATGCTGACAATGTCCGGTTGGCACATGCACTCCTGGGTGATGGCTGCCCACCTTGGTGGATCCTGGAGATATTGGGTTGGGGTAGGGGTACTGGTAGAGGTGATTGTATGGAATTGTTGGCTGTGACGATTGCTGCTTAACATTCTCATACTGGCTTGGCTGAGACAAGTTCCCAATTTTATTCCTCAGAATCCGGCTGATAGAGCTGACAGAGGGCACATTGTACTTGTCACACACGTTGTCAGCCAGCAGCCTGTCCCTGATCTCCCAGGCGAAGATGCCCGGGTCCCCTTGTTTGTACTCCCTGATGTGCTTCACCACGTTGGGGGTGGTAACCCTGGGCTTGCTGCCCCCGATGGCCCCGGGGAGGATGGAGCCGGTCTCGTTGTATCTGGCCAGGATCTTACTGACACATCCATGGGACACTCGGAGTTGCCGGCTGATGTCACAAGGTCTGATGCCCAGCTGGGCCAGCTCCACTATCCTCAGACGGATGGCATTGGGCAGAGGCCTCCCGTTCACAAACACGCCGCCCAGCTGGTTCACTTCTCCATAGGCTTGCTCTGCATGGCACAGACAGACAGACAGCATGTGAGTCTATAGAGGCAGATAGAATCCCAATCCTGCAACTACCATGGAGACAAGCACCCCAACACAACTCTCTACAACTGGAGAAAATGATCCCTTAGCAAGGGAAACATTTATATTGGACAGTGTATGTCCAATAAGTTTAGTGGATTCAACTTTAAAAAAGGCAAAGCTGTGTTCACTTTAAATAACCGACAACGGGGTTGATTTAATGGAGAGTGCAAAATCTGGTGCAGCTGTGCATGGTAGCCAATCAGCATCTAACTACAGCTTGTTTCAGTAAGGCTGACCATACATTATACAATTATCTGGAGATTTTTGGTTTAGATTTACCAAAAACCATATAATAGGAGGACAAACCTAAACAACACTTTCAGTTGTATCCAATTAGGCAGGCCCTTGCACTACACAGTTGAAGGTAAATCTAAAGGAAATTGGGCAGAAAATTAGAAGATAATTGTATAATGTATGGCCAGCCTTAGGCTTTGACCAAAAAAAAAACCTGGAAGCTGATTGGTTACTATGCAGAGTTGCACCAGATTTTGCACTCTGCAGTTTTAGTAAATCACCCCCAATGTGTTGCATTGTAAGCTCTCAGGAGCAGGGCCCTCCTAATCCTATTGTATTGAATTGGATTGCAGCTGCACTGACTCCCCTTTATTATGTAAACTCACCGAGAAAACTTAATAATAATAATAGCAATAGCAATAATAATTATATGTTAGAGGGAAATTAAAATGCCAGATTTTAAAGTGAAATTTTAATACAGGCACATGATTGGATGATGGAAGTGAAGACAGTGTTACCTTATTCAGCAATCTAAATAAACATTCACTTCGAAAATGAGCTTTCCCTACCCCTTTAATTAACCCCAGTGTGTACTATGACAGAACAAGAGGACCTAAAATAAAAGTTATTTTATGCAAATGGATGAAAATACCTGCCACTGATATTTCTATAAATGCAGGCAGAATTATACAGAATTGTAGAACTTTTGCTCAATATTCTCTTTGAAGTAAGAAATGTTAATATTACCCTGATTTCTCACACAATAATCTCTAACACTAAAACCCTTCTAACAACTTATGCCAACCACTATATCAGTGGTCCTTCAATAGTGATAATGTCATGTGAAATCACAATTCTATGGAATTTATTATAATTTTTGCGAGCAATACTCCATAGTTGGAACAGTCATTTTTGCAAAATGTTTATTGTAATGTCACCATAATGATAATATGTACACGATATTAATACACTAATACAACAATGATCTGATAAAAGAAAATGTATTAATTGTAAGTAATAAATAAACACTTTTCTGCTTTCTCTGGACCATGCAAATAGTCTCTGCTGGAACCCACAATGTAAAGAAATCATAAAGTATATTTGTGCAATAAGGGTAAAAAATTATCTTTTTTTTCTGATTATTCTAGAGCATGCAAACAGTCATTCCTGAAACACTCAAATTAAAAAAAAACAATAATAAAAAAATTATAAAGTATTAGTTATTCAATAGTAATTTGATGAATGATAATCTATTAATGCAGACAATAAATGACCCTTTGACTGCTTCCTTTGGGCAAGCAATTGCCCCTGGAGCCTTCAATGTAAAAGAATGACTATATGTAACCATAAAGTATAGTTATGCAATATAAATCTGATGAAGAATAATGTATTAATTACTGTAAACAAATAAATTATACTTTTTCTGTTTCCTCTGGAGCAATGGCTCCTGGAGCCCTCAATGTAACTAAAGTGTAGCTGTGCCATAGTAATATCACGAGGGATAATGTCATTAGTAATATAAGCAATAAATGATCATTTTGCTGTTTCTAGACACTATACGTTTAAGAATTCTAACAGGCTACTCTAAAGTATATACATAAAATGCAGTTGTGCAATAGCTCCGAACATACAGCCTTTGCTGCTGGTTCCAGCCCATCACAGCTTCTATGGCTCTGCGAGGTCTGGAATGTGCAGGCGCTGGTATCCTCTATGGTATAGGGTGCTGCCATAACACACAGGGGATGTCAAAAGCTGCTTACCCATCCCTCCAGGAGAGAACGAAGGAAAAGTTGCAGAGAGATCAGGAAGCTCAAACAGATGTAACCCAGAGATACATGGAAGGGAGAGAGAGTCCAGTCTTCTCCAATGGGCTGGATGAGGAGGAGGAGGAGGGTTCTGCTAGCAGAGAGGCACTTCCTTCCCAAGCTGCAAACTCTTCACTGTTTGCACAGCAACTTCACAAGTGTGGGGAACAAAAGCAAAAGGTGATCTTCCCCAGATTAGGGGGAATTAGCGCAGTTATCTGGTTGCAGTGTGCTCAGATCACTTTGACGTGTCCTCCACGTCAATCTTGGTGGTCAGGCTGGAGGAGCTACTGAGGACATCTCATTGGTTCCCGTCATCCTAACCAGGCAGAGATTCCTTCCCAGTCCATCTCACCCATTCCGGTCTATGTAACCCTAGCCCCCTTCTCTTTTTTCTGGAATGTCTCCATCTACTCATCCTAAAACAACATCGACTGCCATCTTTAAAGCCCTTCATAAACCCATGGCAGTACCTATCCATCATTTCTCCTTTCAGCCCTATTTTTTTTTTTTTTTAAAGCCCCAGCCATCAGTGAAGTTTTCTTTTCTGACCTAGTAAAATAATACAAGTTGATCTTTTTCTGACCCTCCAACTTGAACGTCCATTTCTACATCCTCACAGTTTACAAAAGTTACATTTTCTGATGCTTTCAAAACTGCCCTGTCATCTGGAAACCATTACATTGTATATGTTCTTTGAATTGCAAATGAAGACTTGCTGCTAGCAAAAGAATCTTAAGGAAAAAAAAATCCTATGTCACATTTTGTGCTAAATAATTCAGCTGTTTGGCACCTGTTAAAATACAGTGTGAACCAAGCAGGGAAGATAGATTGCTGGCTTTTTTTTATTGCTGGAGAGAGACAGTAAAAGAAAAAAAAAATGCACAATGCTGGAAATATGTTTTTTTAATTTGTTTTTTTTTTTTCATTATACACGCACACACTGATATATATATATATATATATATATATATATATATATATATATATATATATATATATATAAATAATCACATTATATATATATATATTATTTTTTTAACATATATTATTATCATTATTATTATTATTTGTATGTATATATACACACACATATTATATATATATATATATATATATATATATATATATATATATATATATTATATTCCAATACATACACACGTACACACAAACATTATATATATTATTTATTTTTCACTTTATTATATTTTATTATTATATATGTGTGTATTTTTAATTTAATAATTAAATTGTGTGTGTGTGTATATATATATATATATATATATATATATATATAGTTTTTATTATCATTATTGTTATTACTATTATACTATTATTATTTGTATTTATGCATACATACACACACATACCTATATAGAGTATTTTAGTATTTTTTATTTACATGTCTACAAATACACACACACACACACATATATATATATATATATTTTAATTTATGTGTATTTTCAATTTCTATACACACATTTAAAAAAACACATATTGATTTAATGAGAATGTGTATATATATATATATATACACACACAAACACATACATACAAATCCTTACCTGCAGGTTGTTTAAAGTGAGCTCACCTTTGCAAGACCAACTTTTTTTTTTTTTTTTTTTTTGTAAATCAGCTCTTTAAAATGTCAAATAAAATAGCCTGTACATGTATTCCAGCAGAGAATTGGATATGTTTTGATCTAAATGACAGATACGAAGGCCATTTTCCCACGTATCCAGGCTGGGGGTTTATGATAATCAGATAAGACCCAGGACAGATAGGATGTTTGCACAGATCAGGTGGCAGGTGGGTACTATTTATCTTTTTTCCTTAAATACAGAAATAAATACAAGTTCACTTCCCAAAGTTTAAGATGCTTAGGATTACCTGGGAGCGATCAAAATCTTTGGTAGTCTGCCTTATTAATATACGTCTGCCTGATTTATAAACATTGTCCATGAAATATCTAGTAAGAAGCCACTGTGAGATCCTGCAGTATCCACTGACAGCTAGGGTGACAGTTGTCCCATAAACCTTGTGTACGAGTGTACATGCTATTATAGCTAACATACATTCTATTATGGCATCATATATAAGTCTAGCAGTATGAGCAATGGATATTAATGTATTCCTATTTTTCTACAATTTTCAAAATATAGGCATGACCCCATTAACATTCACTCTCATATTTATTATATAACAGAATTAACATTTGATAGAATGATTTTCTACACAGATTGGTAATTCTGAAAGGCTTAAGTATGTGAATGTATGAATACATTGGGGTTGATTTACTAATGAAGCATAGGCAAAAGGGTTGATATACTTAAGGTAAGAAGATTGTTAACTTCGCAATGGGGTTTGCCCTAGAACTCATTAAACAGCCTCAAAGCAGGAGCAAAACTTGGTTTGTGTTAGAGAATGTTAAGAGAACTGTGATAATGCAAGAATTAACACCGTGCAAATGTGGTGAAATATCACCTTGAAAAAAATACCCAATCAAGGATAAAGAAATTTAAAAAAAACAGCATTTTTGCTTGCTTGTGTTTGGGTGATGGAAGTCAGCAGAGCTTCACTTCATTCATTATGCTTTGGGGGAAATTCCCTTGTAAAGTGCAAATTCCCTTGCAAAGTGAACAGCCTATTTTTCTTTAGTAAATCAGCCCCAAACTGAATGTTCATCCTAAGGTGAAGGTGTGTACATTTAAATGAAGTGCACTGCAAAAAGTTTTTTTTTCCTCCTACATGTACAAAAGTGAACACAGGTACTTGTACACCTTTTTTTACTTACGTTCACTTTGCAAATATGAATAGCCTCTGCTGTTTAGTAAGTCGACTTAATATATATATATAAAATATATATATATTTTTTTATATGTATGACTTTACAAGCACTTACAA